TTTCTAGTTTAAATTTATCGCTTTCCTTAGTTCAACAAACCCCCCCATTTAATCTATTTCGTGTATTATTATTAATTTTATTTTTAGTACACAGTTGACATAATTGAATCAATCCTCTGCAGGCAATGACATTTACTTGCCATAACACTATTTAAGACAAAACATTTAAGTTAAGTAAGGAAAATTAATTGGAACGTGATTCGCCACATATCAATTTTGGCACCCTTTCACCGGGGATTGTTCTATCAATTTGTTAATTGCAATCTTTTTGTTTTTGTTGTTTTTCTATTTATTTTTGTATTCTTTTTCATTTAGGTTGTGAATGAGCAAAAAGCCTATAACACACTATAACCTAAGATCAAGAAAAGAGGCCGACACATCGAAAAGTGGAGAAGACATTTCTCCAACTAGACATCTAAGGCGATTGAGCATTGAATCCTTAAAGGAACTTGCAGCTCCAACTTTTGTTCAACAATTCGGAATGATTCATCTACTCCCCACATTTCTTGGATTTGCCGGAGAGGATCCAAATAAGCATTTGAAAGAGTTTCATGTGGTTTGCTCAAGTATGAAACCGGTGGGTATATCGAAAGAGCAAGTGAAATTGTGAGCATTCCTTTCTCTCTTGCGGTTACTGCTAAAGAATGGCTCTATTATTTGTCGGTCGGTCTTATCACGACCTGGAATGAAATGTAAAAACTCTTCTTGAAGAGGTATTTCCTAGCTTCAAAGGCGATAAACATCAGAAAAGAAATATGTAGCATTCGACAATCTCAAGGGAAAAATCTCTATGAATATTGGGAGAGATTCAAAAGGCTATGTGCTAGTTGCCAAAACCACCAAATTAGTGAGCAATTACTTCTACAATACTTCTATGAAGGATTGCTCCGGATGGAGAGAAGTATCATTGATGCGGCCAGTGGAGGAGCTTTAATGGATAAAACACCAATAGTTGCTAGGGATTTGATAGCCAACATGGCCACAAACTCACAACAATTTGGTAGTAGAGAAGCAGCACCGGTTAAACAAGCAAGTGAGGTAGGAGCAACCTCTCAAATTGAATGACAATTAGCCAGTCTTACATCGCTTGTGCAACAAATGGCACTTGGGACAATGCAACAAGCAAAAGTGTGCGGGATTTGTTCTATTGTGGGACATCCTACTGAGGCATGCCCGACACTACAAGAAGGAGCCTCACAGCAAGCGAATGCCATTGGGGGATTTCCAATGCAACAGAGCCAGAGAAATGATCTATATGGTAACACTTATAATCCTAGATTTAGAGATCATTCTAATCTCAGTTATGGAGAAAATCATTCAAAGCTCCACAATCACAATTTAATCATCCCCCGGAGTTCAATCAACAAAGGCAACCACAACACCCTCAACCTCGTCAACAAACTCTATCTCAAAATTCAGAGATGTCTCTTGAGGATATGGTTAAGTCATTGGCTTCTAATACAATACAATTTCAACAACAGACAAAGACCTCAATTAAGAATTTGGAGACACAAGTGAGCCAATTGGCCAACACGGTGGGTAAATTGGAGGCTCAAGGATCGGGAAAATTTCCTTCTCAAGCAATCAACCCTAGAGAAAATGCTAGTGCCATGACATTAAGAAGTGAAAAAATTTTGGAAGAGACACCAAGGAAAAAGAAGGATGAAGTTGAGGAGTCAACGCAAGAGAAGAACTTAGCATGTGAAAAAGATGAAGCTACAACTCCAGCGGCAGGATCTAAGATAGAATCTAAAAGTTCTATTCTTACTTATGTTTCCTCCCCTCCATTTCCTGGCAGGTTTGCAAAGTCTAAAAAGGGTGAACATGAGAAAGAAATCTTGGAGACTTTTTGCAAGGTTCAAGTGAACATACCACTTTTGGATGCAATTTATCAAGTGCCTCGTTATGCAAACTTCTTCAAGGACTTGTAAGTGTAGGGAAAAATGTCTAAGCGGTCTTGCAAAAGAAACTTTCGCCAAAATGTAAAGACCCTGGAAGTTTTACCATTCTTTGTAGTATTGGTAACACTAGGTTTGAAAAGGCAATGCTAGATTTAGGAGCATCTATGAATGTCATGCCATATTTCATTTATGCTTCCTTAAAGCTAGGATCACTTAAAGAAATCGGTGTTATTATTCAACTTGCTGATAGATCTAATATATTCCCAAAGGGTGTGTTGAACGATGTTTTGGTGCACGTAAATCAATTGATTTTTCCGATAGATTTCTACGTTCTTGACATGCAAGATGAACCAACATCTTTGTCACCACCGTTGCTCTTGGGAAGACCATTTATGAAGATTGCGTGTACAAAGATAGATGTGCATGACGGTACATTGACAATGGAGTTTGATGGTGAGATTATTCACTTCAACATCTTTGAAGCAATGAGGTATCCTAGTGATGTTCACGCTTGTATTTCAATTGATATAATAGATTTATTAGTAAAAAAGTTTTTGAATTATCAAATGAAGATGCATTGGATACCACTTTGATTAAAAGCATTGATGCTAACAATCTTACCGGGTTGAGCAAGAATTCACAAGTGTGCAAGGATGTGGTTGAAACCATGACATCATTTGAGTCATCACCAAGTATTCCACCAAGGTATGATCTCTCCTATATCACTCTTCCAATATCTAAAGAGAAACTTTTAGCTTCGGTGATGCAGGCCTCCACTTTGGAACTCAAACCTCTTCTCGAGCATTTGAAGTATGTATATTTGGGAGAGGGAAAACACTACCAGTGATCATTGCAAAGAATCTCACAACACTTCAAGAAGATAGGCTTATCTGTGTGCTCAAGGAACACAAAATAGCTATTAGTTGGACAATAGTCGATATCAAGGAGATAAGCCCTTCTATGTGCATGCACCGTATATTTCTCGAAGATGGAGCAAAGTCATCAAAAGAAGCACAATGTCTCTTGAATCCTCCCATGATGGAGGTGGTGAAGAAAGAAATTTTGAAATTGCTAGACGTTGATGTCATCTTTCCCATCTCCGATAGCAAGTGGGTAAGCCCGGTCCAAATTGTTCCAAAAAAGTCTGAAATCACAATGGTGACGAATGAAGAGAATGAGCTCGTACCAACTCAGGTCCAAACGGGTTGGAGGGTTTGTAGTGATTATAGAAGACTTAATTGTACAACCCGAAAAGATCACTTTCCTTTACTCTTTATTGATCAAATGTTGGAAAGGTTAGCAGATCATTCTCATTATTGTTTTCTTGATGGTTATTCAGGTTATAACCAAATTGTAATTGCTCCGGAGGACCAAGAGAAAACAACATTCACTTGCCCGTTTGGAAACTTTGCTTATCGGCGCATGCCCTTCGGCCTTTGCAATTCTCCAGCAACCTTTCAAAGAGCATGATAAGTATATTCTCGGATTATATTGAAAGCATCATTTGGGTCTTTATGGATGATTTTAGTGTTTATGGTAATACCTAACTGGAAAATCTCACATTTGTGTTTAAAAAATATATGGATGCTAACCTAGTACTTAATTGGGAAAAATGTCATTTTATGATTGATCAAGACATAGTGTTAGGCCATGTCATTTATTCCAAGGGGATAGAAGTTGATAAATCTAAAATTGATTTAATTCACTCTTTACTTCTTCCAACAAGTGTAAGGAAGCTTCGTTCTTTTCTTGGACATGTAGGATTTTATCAAAGGTTTATCAAGGATTTCCAAATGTGCAAGACCATTATGCAGGCTGTTGCAAAAGGAAGTACCATTTCATTTTGATGAAGATTGTAAAAAGGCATTCGAGAGCTTGAAGGAACTTTGACATCGACACCCATTATTCAACCACCAGATTGGAGCAAGCCATTTGAGTTGATGTGTGATGCAAGTGACTTGTATTGGGAGCCGTTTTAGGGCAACGAGTTGGAAAGACACCTCATGTCATATGTTATGCATTAAGAACTTTGAATGATGCCCAACTCAATTACTCTACTACTGAAAAAGAGCTTTTAGCAATTATTTTTGCCTTAGAGAAATTTTGTTCATATCCTATTGGCACTAAAGTAACTGTCTTTTCTGATCATGCAGCTCTTAGGTACTTGCTTACCAAGAAAGAGGCAAAGTCAAGGCTCATTTGATAGATACTCCTCTTATAAGAGTTCGACCTTGAGATTAAAGACAAAAATGGGAGTGAAAATTATGTGACCGACCACCTCAATTGCCTTATCCATGAGAGAGAAACTCTCCCATTGCAAGAAAGCTTCCTCGATGAACAATTGCTTCTCATCAATGACACATCTCTTTGGTTTGCGAATATAGTGAACTATTTAGTCACTAAGAAAATTTCAAGTGACTTGACCACCGCTCAAAGGCAAAAACTCAAGGCGATAGCCAAGTATTTTGTGTGGGATGAGTCGTACTTGTGAAAACACTATCCGAATCAATTGATAAGAAGGTGTGTGCATGAAAATGAATTTCATTCAATACTTACCTTTTGTCACTCCTATGCATGTGGTGGACATTTTGGAGCAAAGATAACTGCTCTCAAGGTGCTTGAAAGTGGATTATATTGGTCCACCCTATTCAAAGATGCATTCCTTTTTTGCAAATCTTGTGATCAATGTCAAAGAGCAGGTACGTTGGGAGTCCGAAATGAAATGCCACAAACACCCATACTTTTTGTTGAAATTTTTTATGTTTGGGGCATTGATTTCATGGGACCTTTCCCTTCATCTTATGGTAACCTTTACATCATTATTGTCGTTGATTATGTGTCAAAATGGATAGAAGCAAAGGCCACTCAAACTAATGATTCTAAAGTGGTTGTAGATTTTGTTAAATCCAACATTTTTGCAAGGTTTGGAACACCAAGAGCTATTATTAGCGATGGAGGACTACATTTTTACAATCGTTCCTTTTGGGCCCTATTGAAAAGATACAACATCACCCATAAAGTGGCTACAGCTTACCATCCACAAACTAGTGGGCAAGTCGAAATGCCTAACCGAGAGGTCAAATTCATCCTCAAAAAACTATGAATCCCAATAGAAAGGATTGGAGTCTCCGCCTCAATGATGCACTCTGGGCTTATAGGACAGCATACAAAACACCGATTAACATGTCCCCTTACCGGTTAGTTTATGGTATGCCTTGTCATCTCCCAGTTGAACTTGAACACAAGGCACTTTGGGTAGTTAAGCAATGCAACATGAACTTAGGTGCAGCAGGTGATCAAAGAAAGCTTCAACTCAATAAACTTGAGGAAAATCAAAATGACACCTATGAAAGTTCAAGAATTTATAAGAAAAAAACTAAGACGTACCATGATAAAATGATTTCAAGAAAGGCTTTTGTTGTTGGCCAAAAAGTTCTTCTTTTCCACTCGTACCTCAAGTTATTTCCAGGTAAATTACGTTCTCGATGGATTGGCCCTTTTGTTGTTACTAATATCTTTCCTCATGGTGCAGTAGAAATCAAAAGCCTTCAGATTGAAAAAGAGTTTAAGATGAATGAGCATTGATTAAAGTCATATTTTGAACCTTGTACCACAAAACATGAAGAAAATGCTATTGGAGGACCCAATCGAAGAAGTATGAGAGAGGACACTTATTTTTGTTTTTGTGAACTTTTGTCGCCAATGGTCCCTAACCATCATCACAGTCATCACCGTCAACACCATTAGGGGAGTATTTGAACCTCTTGTGCTTTTTATTTTTGTTTACTTTTATATTGAGAACAATGTGCAATTTAAGTTAGGGGGTGAGGTAATATGTGCTAAATTTTTTGTGGAATTTTGTGGTTTGTGCTAATTTTTTTCGTGCTAAGAACTTAAAAATTCATGTTGAACACTTGTTTTTATGCTTGTTTGTGTTGTTTGATAGTTTTGCCAATTGCATTTTGAGTATTGCATTGCATTGATTTATGAATTGAGAACATGAATGTTAAGTGTTTTTTTTTTTCATCCACTTATTTCATGATTGACTCTTTATTGAGCATTTGGGTCATGAGATTCATCACACGCACTTGTTGGTTGCACTTGTAGGTTGTTAACGAACTTAAATGACCATGCTATTAGAAATTCTTCAATTACCCTACCAATGAAAGGATAAGTTTGGGGGTAGTTGAACCGATGAAAGAAATTATTTAGAATTGTATTGATTCTCGACTCAGTGATTGATTTTGTGGAATGTTCTTAGACTTCAAATGAAAGTTAGATGTTGTTTTCCATCTATTGATATTTCATAATAAAAAAAAAAAGAAAAAAAAATATAACTGTAGGAAAAAGTTGCCTGCCCTAAGGAGTATGAGTCGACATTGAGTAATCTGGCTCTATGCATCACCAATGTGTAGGAGACGATCTACGAATGAAGAAGGCTACCCTTAGGGACCAAAGCGAGAACTACCTACATTGGAAAAATGAAGAAAAATAAAAGGGATACTATAAGCATCTAGGGGTGATTTTGTTGAAAAATTGATGGATTTTGTTGAAGAATTGATTAACATAAGTTTGTGGTCTAAGCACTTAAAATTTTTGGCGAATTAATACATGACTAGATGATCTATTTTATCGGTTTAACCCAACAAAATTTGAAAGGGAAAGATTGAGTGATTTGAGGGCAACCTTAAGTTTTTTACACCTTGGGGTAGAGTGAAAATATCAAATTTGGGGGAGTGTGCATCCCACGAGTGAGAAAGGAAAATTTGACCATTAAGGGTCGGGAAAATCACCAATTTATGCATTGCGATGAATTGGAATGACCACACTCACACATAAGTCAAGCATGGTATAAGTTAAAGAGTATTTGTTGTAGCATTGTGTAAACATTTCACAAGTTAGTTTCATAATATAAGGCTTGAAGCAAAGTGGTAAAATATCTAACATTTGGAGTGTTTGTTATTATAGTATTATTGTTTGGCTTTAATTTACGTGTTTGTATGCTTGTTTGTATAGCTTTAATTGAGGACTAACAAAGATTTAAGTTTGGGGGTGTGATAAGTGCGGGTTTTTGCACTATTTTGGGCCATTAAACTTAAATATTTGTGAGTTTCATTAGCGATTTATTACTTAATTTAGTTATTTTTATTGTGTAGGTGAAAATCCGACTTTGAACGATGATTAGAAGGTATTTATGCGAGAAAAGACGAAAAATATAAAGGAAGCATGAAAACGTTGAAAGAGAATATATATATATATATATAAATTCAGCGAGCTAGGCGCTGCGACGCCCAACTCGAATAGAAAATAGAAACTATGGCGCCTCCGGCGCCTGAGCACCACCCAGGAAGTTCTTAATTGTTTTCAAAATCTCAGGGACCAATGCTGAAATTTTCTTTAGGTTTTAATTTAAAACATTCAACCAAACACAAGACTTCTCATTTTTGGAACTTTTGGGGAGCAATCGGTTCTTCTTCTTCTTGTCTCTTGTTTTCTTTCTTTTTCCTTTTCCTTTCACCTATATTTTCCTAGACATTTTGGGGAAGATTAGAACATGGAGATGGTGCATTAGCTTGGAGAAGATGACCCATTGATATTGAAGGACGTTCTACCATTTCTCTCTTTATCAATAAGTTTTTCTTTTCACCTTTTCCATCAATATTTTGTAAGAAATTGTTAGTTATTTATGAATATTTCATAGGTAACTAATTATATTTTGTGATTGGGGATTATTTCAAATCCGAATTATGATTTTCAATTAATTTATGCTTTATAATTCTCTTGATTAATGTATTTAATCCATTGTGTTAAATGTTTATTTTGCTCTTCTTGATTATTTAGGTGCACAACTAAATGATTAAGTTGTTTCGATGAATGCTATTTTGGAATTAGTAGTACGTAATAGCTATTGATTCTAAAACCTAGTAGCAATTACATTTCGATAGATTATGAAGAATTTTCAATTGAATGTATGTGGATTAACACTTAAGTTAGTAAATCAAGCTTGCGAGTTTACCCTTAATTCAATTCATCTCTTTTGTCGTAATACGTTTGTTAAATTACATTTAGAGAACTTATTCTATATTGTTTAATGAATAGGGTTGAGTAAAGAGCTTGTTTTATTCAACTAACGTGTAAGAAGAGATTGAAATAATTGAGCTTGTAATTATTCTCGAATTGTTGTTAATCTTGAGAACGAAAATCTATTGTGATAATTGACATGAAAATCATTCTCGTGGTGACGAAATATCCCCCAATCACATTCAATCAAGAACCACTTTGTTTATTTCAAATTTCAAGCTTTTTTCTAGTTTAAATTTATCGCTTTCCTTAATTCAACAAACCAAACCCCCCAATTTAAACTATTTCGTCTATTATTATTAATTTTACTTTTTAATGCGCAATTGACATAATTGAATCAATCCTATGAGGGAAATATCAATCTTCTGCGGGATACTTGCTATAATACTATTTAAAACGACACATTTAAGTTAAGTAAGAAAAATTAATTGAAACGTGATTTGCAACGTATCAATTTCATTTGGACTTAAATGGGAATCAATTGAACGGAATATTACCGCACACATTGGACAATAGTAGGATGCTTGAAGAACTAGATACCGAAAACAATGACATAAGTTGTCCATTCTCACTTTGGATGGAAACTCTTTTGGTGCCTCGAGTTCAGTGTTGAAGTCCAACAGATTCCATGGTACAAAACGACGTTGTATCGGTCATTTTGTGAAGAAAACGACGTCGGACTTAAATGGGAATCAATTGAACGGAATATTACCGCACACATTGGACAATAGTAGGATGCTTGAAGAACTAGATACCGAAAACAATGACATAAGTTGTCCATTCTCACTTTGGATGGAAACTCTTTTGGTGCCTCGAGTTCAGTGTTGAAGTCCAACAGATTCCATGGTACAAAACGACGTTGTATCGGTCATTTTGTGAAGAAAACGACGTTGTATCGGTCATTTTGTGAAGAAAACGACGTCGTTTTTATGGCGTATTAATATCCCAAAAGTTCACCATAAGGTCATTTTTCTCTCTCTCAAACCCTGGTGTCGTTGCTCATCTCGCTTCTCTTCTTTGGTGATTTCCCTTCTTATCTTGGATCTTTCTTAAATCATCAAAGATTGTAGGTACATTTGCTGATTCTATATGCTGTATTCTTTGAGTTTTTGCTTTTACCTTCTTCGAGGTTTTGCTTTGTCTGTTTTCTTTATCATTAGAATAAATTGTGTCTTTTGTAGACTAATAATGAGTCATATGCTCTCGATTTTTATTTATTTCTCTGTATAAAAATCTAATATTGATTTTTTTGCCTTACGTTCAGGAATTGATTTCTTTTGAGAGAATGAATTGCGGTTTCAAAGGGTGTTTGTATACTTTTGAACTATAAGCCACGGCTGTCATTTCTCTGTCGAGTTTTTTACTTCTTTTTTCTTCCAATTTTTGTTTAGTTTGTTTTTATTTTACTTTTTAATGAATTCTTTCAAATAAATTGTGTCTTTTGTAGATTGATGAGTTGTATATTCTTGATTTTTGATCCGTTCCATTATATTAAGATCTGCTTTTTTTTTTCTCATGTTCAGGAACTAACATCTAGATTTTATTTTTTGTCCTTGATATTTGTTTTTTTAAATTCTTCCGTGTAGCTTATATTTAATCGTTCATGCAGTGTTGTTTGAAATAAATTTATTTCTAGAAAAATCGTATTTAGCAAAAATTGACACCTGAGGTATGTTAACTTGTTTTACTTAGGGAGATTTAAAAAATGAAACATGAGATTGCTGTTGTGCTTTTGAAAAAATCAATGTACTATCCAAGCTTCAAATTGATCGTTTAGGAATCAACTTATGTAATAGAGTCGATCCACTAAAGTCTTGAGCAGCGGTGTAGGATCAGATCCCAAAGATAGTAAGTCTTTTCTTTCTTAAGAAGGAAAGTCTTTTTCAAAGATTCTATAGAAATTTATATATGAAACCGAGATAGTTACCTTTCAAAAAATTCTAACGATAGGAGGAATTTATTCTTCAAGGTATGGTCAAATTTATTTGGTGAGTATATGTTCCACTATTAAACTTGTTTAAGTCCTCCTCCCTACCCTTGGTAATAATGTTCTTTGGTAGATTAGAATTGGAATAGTGTTTTGTATGTTTGGATATCCTTATAAACTTATAAGAGCGAATCCAATGCAACCCTATTCACATTGTCCAATAAAATACCATCTTGGAAGCTGTATAAAATGGTGTTGTTTTACGTGTTTTGTGTGTTCTTCATGCAAGTTTAAGGAGAATTAATTGAAAAAATTGCAGCGGTTAAAAGGACATAGATTGTAGGCCGATAGATAAAAAAACCTATTGGTTGATGGGGAGACTATTCTTTAGACAGATTGACTTATTAGTAGTACGTTGAATAAACATGAATTTAGATTTCTAATTAAACAGAATGCATATAATTTTTTTTATATTATTTAAAAGAGTTTAGATAAACGGAACAGGTTGATTGGTTTCAGTTTATATTCAAAAAGTAACTGGAAAAAAAAAATTCTTTGTTCATTGTTTGTTTGAAGTGATTTTCTTCAAATGATTTTATTTTTTACCTAATTTTTTGGTTGTGGGTTGAGAAACCTGAATATCAGAATATGGACGTTTTCTATGACTAGAAATTCCAGCTGACATCTTCATCTCTATGACACTACCTTGTCTATGAAATTTTATTTTGGGTGATTCTTGGTGTAAAGCTTCTGTTTGTTTCCATTCTTTATGAGTTGAGAACTATGAATGTGGACTTTGTAAATTTTTATAATTGATCTACTAACATTTTTATTATTGGATAAAAAAAAATAAAAAATCTCCCACTTCTCTTTTTCTTTTTTCAATATCTTGATCTGGTGGTTTTTTTTTTTTTTTTTTTAATATTTGTTCAATATTTTTGGCCCCAATAAAAATGAAGATCTTTTAGTTCTTCATTTGGATCCTTAGAACTTTTTCTTTCTATTCTATTTTTTTGCTGGATGTATTGTTTTTGTTGATATGAGAATATGCTAAAGTCGGTACATGAAGGATTGAGAAATGATTTAACGTTTTTTAAGTCTTTCACATGGATGTTATGTTATATAAGCATGGAAGGTAGGTTACAGGATTGTACTATTTTTTCCTATAGTTTATCAGTGCACTCACTTTCTTTTCTTCTAATTGACAAGTACTCTACATTTTTGTTTACTTTTCTTTGGTAATTATCTAATTTTTTTTCACTATTCTCAGATTTTTACATGCTAAAATTAGATTTTATTTTCCAAAAACAAATTACTTTATAAATTATCTATATTAATTTTCACTTTATTCATTCATAAATAAATTATTTCTTTTTTATTTAGTTTACTATTTTTTCCTTATCTATTTTTGTTCTTACCATTGTTTGTAAGTTATTGAGATTTTTTTAAAAATACTTACAAAGGATTTTTGTTTCCTTCTGTTATATTTTTTTCATATAAGAATTTTAGTATACTTCCTTTGATTTCTTGAAGATATTGCGCATTGTATATATTTAATATGACATGGATTTTAAAATTACGCAGATACTAATGTAGGAAGCATTCTTATATATATATTTTTTAATATGATTTCTTTAAGATAACAATTTCATTTTGTTTAATTCAATAATTTAATTTGAAGTTGTAGTCTTTTTCAATTCAATTTACAGGTATGTCTTTATACTTGCTTACGTAAAGGTTGCGATTTGTTCTATATCTTTTATTTCACTTTTCAAAATTTTCTTTCAATTTTCTATATTGGATACTTGAGAATATAGATCAATAATTGAACAAAACAATTGTTAAAATGTTTGAACTCGTGTTTGAATGACGATGAATTCGTTTCACGTAAAATCAATTCTGTTGAAGTCAATTCTTATCAATCTTAGTAGCTATCGTCCGTCATAAAGTGTTGCTTGGAGGACAATCTTTTCTTTTCAAATCTTCAGTTCATAGTTCAATAATCTTTATTAAATCACACCTTCATTGGGACATAACGTTCGTTTGGTGAGCGTTACAGTGATTCATTCTTTGACATTTATTAAAAATTATTAAAACTATATTTAAACTAGAATATATTTCAATGTAAGATTTATAGTCTTCTTATATAGTCGCATACTAGATCTTTTGTACGTCGCTCAGGACTTGGACTTAGTGATACAATACGATTAATTGGCTATTATGGAATCATTGCTAGCACACAACTAGAAAGAGTTGATGATAACATATGTCTTGCTACTGGATGGGAACATTTTTTTGACCATCATAATTTACAAGATGATTATATTATTGTGTTTGAATACACCAAAAATTCTACATTTAACGTTTCAATATTCGACCATTCAGTTGTAGAAGTAACAGATGACCACGATGTTTCTAAACTGGAAATTTCAAGTATGGGTAATCCGTAATCTTGTCTTTCAAGTAACATTGGCAGCTAATCATGATGGACATCGAAAAATTGTGTGCCCATCTTTAACTTCATTTCTTTCTAACTTGTATCTTTCTTTACTTACATATATGAAACATAATTTTACGTTCACATATTGTTTTAAGATTGTGAGAAACAAACAACAAGTGCGTGTGGGTAGATGGAGTTTCTGGTCTTCACCTTGATTTCTTCATCTTAGCAATGAGAGAGCTATCTTTGAACTCAACAGTACTTCCTTAAGCCATCACTATATATTACTCTGCAAATGACATGGTGATATAAGCTAGGATTATTTACTGTGCACACTTTGACAAAAATGTAGCTTTGTGATTTTAAAACTATTTCTGGTTTTTATTGTTTTAATTTGCATATTGATTTCGCTGTAATTTTCTGTTCTTACTGCAATCTTTTTGAGGAAGACCATATACTTTTAATTCTTGAGATTGCCTTGTGATTTTTGGATGAGACTTAATGCACTTAAGAAGTAAACAAAGGCAGATCATGAACCAAGTGTTAGATATCAAGGAGCAGTTCCTTAGGTACATGTATGTCCTTTTGTGTTATTTTTTTTCAATTTCTTGAACATGATTCATTACATATTGTTATTCTACTCTGCTGGATATTTGTTCTTTTATTACAATGTGTGACCTATTTTTTGGAATTAATACTCTTCTTGTTATTATTATATTTTATTGGTAGCTTGGGTGATCCAATATGTTAATGGTCTTATATAGTATTTATAAAATGATCAACACATATTTAAATAGTACGCTACGCGTATCGCGCATGCCAAGAGCTAGTCTCTATATAGTAGGCGATCCTTTGCAACGAGGTAGGTGACCATTTGAGAAAAAAGAGTAAGGTGGCCTTGCACATGTGTGAGGTAGGTGAAAATCTCCTATTATAAATAGAGATAAAGTTGAAGAAAAAAAAACACACACACACACACAAGCAAAGAGAGGTAGAGAGGAAGAGAAAGGTAGAGGGAAAAAAAAGGGAGGTGGAGAAAGAGAGAGAGAGAGAGAGAAAAAATTTCTCTCGAAGTGTTTATTTTCTACTTAGTTTCTCCAATTACAAGAGAGGGATTAATTATTGTTATCTTCTTTTATTTTGAGAGAAGTTATTGTAATTTTCCCACTATAATGAAATCCTCCTATACTTGCCCGTGGACGTAGAATAAATTGGGTGAACCACGTAAATCTTTTGTGTCCATTTTTTAGCTGCATTTTCTCAATTCCACTTCCGTTGCAAGCCAAACTTGTCCCACGTTTTCTAAATGGATTCCTCAGCGGCTGGATGTACATACAGAATACCCAAATGATGTCTTATAACAAATGTATGGATGGAGCAAAAAAGGTTACTTCATTTTCAACCAAAATTTCTCAGTATGTCATATACTTAACTTAAAAGATCGCATGTCAAAGGAATTCAATTATTGGCAGTTGAAAGTCACAAATTAAGTTGCTTTATGAGATAAAAGTTGAGAATACAGGCCAATGCCCATAAGAATTCATCCCGAGAACTGAGTTCTATAGCTCCTTATCAATTCAGTTTTACAAAGATTTAGATAACCTTATAACCATGCACTTTTGCATACTTGGATGGTGGCAAATCAGTCCTGTGTGCTTTTTGTTTCTTCCCCACAACCTGTGAATTTAAGTACCTAAGTCATCTCCCATTTCACTTTAGGTGCCAATGCTCCTGAATCATCTTTATCGAGAGAATTTCCCATCTTTAAGGGGGTTCTTTCTCGGTTGCATCACTAATGCTTCAGTGATCTCAATGCCCCAATACCAACTTCTAATTTCGATGTTGCAACTATCGAGAGTTTCATGCATTAGCTGTGGCCCTAATCCACATAGACCAAGGGCGAACACTCATCTTTTGCAGCATGGACTATCAAGGTATCTAATTTTGTGCTTTCACACCACATATACAGATATCAAAACGCATGCAGTCCATTTGGTCGTTTCGAATATTTTGGGTTATTTCAAGGACAAAAAATACAAATATGGGCCTTTAAGTCCAAAGATGACCAAGTATTTCTAAGCTAAAATGGTCTCTTGATCATCAGATTTTGTTTGGAATTTTTTGATCTCATGGTGGAAGACTAAGAACA